CCCACATCACGCAACAAGATAAGTTACCCCAAGCTCCATCAAAGATCACCCTGACGTCCGCTTCTTGACCATGGCGAGGAAGAGGTCGTGCCACCGCGTGTCGTCCGTGAGCTCCGGGTGGAAGGCGGTGACGAGGATGTTGCCCTGGCGCGCCGCGACGACGACCTCGCGCTCCGGGATGGCCGCCTCGGCCGCGGCCTGCTTCTTCGCCTTCTTCTTCGGGGGCTTCGCGGGTCCGTCGAAGGCCTTCACCGCGGGCGCGGCGGACGCGTGCGGCGCGACGGTCACGGACGCCAGCGCCTCGCACTTTTTGCCCACCTTCAGGATCGCCGGCGCGCGGATGAAGACCGCCGGGTAGTCCTTGGCGACGAGCGCCGCGTCCTCGGCCGACGCGCCGCCCGTCGCCGCCAGCGGGACCTCGAAGGACGACACCTGCGCGCCGAAATAGTTGCGGCAGCAGTCGCAGTCGAGCCCGCCGATGAGCGGCTGGCCGCCGTCGCGCTGGCCGATGGCCCGGTCCGCGAGGAGCACGAGGCCCGCGCACGTGCCGTATACGGGGAGCCCGCCGTCGACCGCCGCGCGGATCGTCTCCCAGAGGCCGTCGCCCTCGGTCATGATGCCCATGGCCGTCGACTCGCCGCCGGGCAGCACGAGGCCGTCGATGCCCGCGACGCCGTCCGGCGTGCGGATCTCCCGCGTGCGCGCGCCGAGGCCCGCGAGCACGGCCACGTGCTCCTCGACGGAGCCCTGGATCGCGAGCACGCCGACGAGCGGGCCGTCGTCGTCGGCCATGGCGTTTGTGGGATACGCGCGGCGCTCGCAGAGGGCTGGCGCGGCACGCAGCGGTGCTGTCTCTCCAGTCAGAGGCAAGTTCCGCGATCGCTGAAGTCTGCAACTTGACGGCAAGGACCGCTCCCGTTACGCCTCCCGCAGCGCGTCGTGCAGGGGCGACAGCGTCGGCAGCTCGACGCCGGCCTCCGGGTCGGGCGGCTTCGGCGCCGGCGTGCAGCACGTCGTCTCGCCCCCGCGCGGCGGCGGCGGCACCGGGAGGAGCGCGTCCGCGACGTCCGCGAGGACCTCGGCCGCGACGTCGTCGAGCCCGTCGTCGGCGTCGTCCTCCGCGGCCTCGACGACGGGCCGCCGGTTGCGCGCCGCGGCCTTGAGGCAGCGCGCGACGCGCGCGATCGCCAGGGGCCGCGCGGGCGGCGCGCGCGCGCCCCGGAGGCTCGGGTCCGCGCGCCGCCGCGCGAGGCCCGGCTCGTCGGCCGCGCCGTGGCAGAGGGAAAAGTAGGCATAGAGCGACGGCGACACGGCGCGGTAGTCGACGCCGAGCGCGTACGGCGCGAGCGGCGGCCGCGGCGGCGCCGCGAGCCGCGCGTTCGAGAGCGGGCCCGGCGGCGGCGGCGGGTCCGCGTCGCCGCCCCTGGGCGGCGCGTAGAAGGCCCAGGACCGCCAGGCGCGGAGCCACTCCTCGTCGACCAGATAGAGCACGTCGCTCGGGTCCGTCGGCCGCGGCGGGTCGAGGCTCCGCGCGACGCGCGGCTCCTCCTCGCGCCACACCCTGTCCACGTCGACGCGCAGCAAGCCCTCGAGGAGCGCGGGGCTGTAGGCGCCTACAAGCAGGCCCAGGGACCGGTGCAGCGCCATGAAGCGCCGCGCGAGGACGCGGCCGATCTCCGCGGGCGTCTCCCGCCGCCGAAAG